ATATTTTCAATGGCTCAGATGGCTGCAGTGCAGATCTACCCACACTCGTCTTTATTCTTAGTCATAGCTTTACGCATCGTCCTCGTCGTCCTCGTCTTTCTCTCCTTCATCCTTATCGTCGTCTTCATCCTCCCCTTCCACCTCTTCTTCTTCTTCGTCTTCTTCAACCTCTTCTTCGTCCTCATTCTGGAAATAAAATCAGCAAACTTTTAAAAACTGAAATACTTCATCGTCTAACATCTAGCTCGTACCATCATATAATACGACACAGGGTTTTTCCACAACTCTTCCTTGATAATTTCGGCGACGTCCTGATCACCATCCGTCGAAACGAACCACTAACGAAGTACCTCAATTAGCCACCAGATTGAAATGTGCAAGATGCAAGGACACACACCTGAAAAAAAGGAAACTTCTGAGAGTTCTCTACTACCTCAGCCTTTTCCTTCCAAGTTACTTCCGACGCAGTAACCTCGACTTCGTCTCCATCCTCGGTGAACTTCACCTGCTTCCACAAGACATTGGGTGAAAAGTACGGATTTTCCTGGAAAGTCTGATAATCAGTCAAAACACGTATGTCAAGTAGACAGCAACACAGCAATGCAGCAACGCCTATGATGGCCTCACCAACTCCATTTTGAAACTTCCATCATCGCCCACAAATGTGACGTCAAACGATTGCAAAAAGTCAAGAAGCATGTCATCATCCTCTTGAATAAAATTGCCTACGAGCGGGTGGTTTGTAAACTGCCAATAGCAAATAAATGTGTAAAAAAGCGGAGTCATGCAGATACAACACCAAGCACGTACAGCTTGCTTCCAGAAATGGGGTAAATCTGCCAACAATTTATTACGCTTGACATACGTTGGGCGTTTCTTGGCATTGTATTTATTTTCAATAACAAGGATCTCTTTTGCCTGTTCCTCGTTCACTTGTTCGAGTTCCTCTTCCACTTTTTTCACTGCCTCGAGAACTTTCTGTACCTTGACGTCAAGACTGAGCTCTTCAATGCGCTGGCGCTTAGGAGATGGAGGGCTGGTCATTTTGAAAGTGTTCAGATTTTAAATGATTGGTTGGTTTCCTCTTTTTTCAGCGACCGTTTGTTATTCGTATTGTCTCTTACTCCTCTCAAATTGCATACCGAATCTGAAGATATGGCTACACTGCTTCATGCTCGCGCGAACGGCGGACCCAAATGCTCAGTGAGACATTCCGAACTCCTGATGCTGGTTACATATCACAAATCTTGTCTTCACTCTTCCGGAAATACTCGACAAGATCAGCAAACACGTTGAAGCTCACCTATCACACAAAGGGTAGCCGTCAGCGTATTGATGATCTTGTTTAATCAGATTCATGAACTACATTATATGGATCAGGTAGTTTAAGCTGCACGAGAACCTCAGTCAACTCGACAAATGTCACGCCAATACCGAGAATATTGGCCAAACCCAACCGAGCTGAACCATACGTACATGCATACAAGATCCTGAGTAGAAGTATTACATAAATCTACATTACACGTACTTTGTGCAACGGAAAGTAGTCCTCTGCCTTTCGAATCAGCTTGAGAGAATGTGGACCAAAGAAGATCCGTCGGATTGTCGACCTCGAGAGTATCACTCATGTCCTCATCGCTCAAATCCGAATTTAAGTGTTCGAAGTCAGAATTTGTATCCTCTTCATTAATTTTCTCGTCTTTCAGAGCCACGTTAAGCTCTTGAATGGTTTCTTTGCGCGAACTAGTATTGCTTTCGAACAGAGAATCCGCTATCCTCATCTCGCGTACCTTTTGTCGGGCCATCTTTTTACGCGCTCGAGACTGTTTGTAAGCAGCCTTCACTTTCTTTCGCATCACTACTTCCTGTGCAATTTCCTCGGATTGACGAAAATGATCAACTTTGTAGGATTCTTTTCTCATTTCAAGATCCTTTTGCCAATGCTCCCACTTAGCCCAGCTAATGTGCATTTCATCAAGTTCATCTGCAGAAAGAGGAATTGATCGCTCGACTCGCCTCACCATTGTAAATCGCTGCTTTGCAAACATATCCGTTTCTTCATTAAAGTAGCTCGAAAAATAAGTGCCTTCTACCCCAACTGGTCGTTGAAGTCTAAGCATTTCCTGGTGAAGGTTTGGATCATTGAAATAGAGGTTTTGGCAAGAAGAATTTGTAGATATACTCAACTCACGTAAGAAAGTATGAGAAAGTGAAGCAGTTTCTTTGGCATATATCACTTGGTCATTTGTCTCAACACATTTTCCAATGAATTCTTCAATATCTTGTGGTCTTAGAATCTCAACTCCTGTGCCGTCACCATTCAGAATGAAAATGTGAGGCTCGATCAGCTCATCAATCACAGCTCTTGCAGAGATGCTATCTACATTGTAACGAGCGCTCTCTTTTTCGCTTACTTCTCCAGCTAGGTCAACAACTACGGTAGGGTCATCATTTAGTCCACATAAGTCTACATGGAATCTATTCTGCTCGCTGTCACATACTTTGAAACGCCCATTGTAGCAATTGAAGTAGTAGACCCCAGTGTGGTCTGTCACAGCTTGATCGTCATCGTCCTCTGAATCGGTAGCAACGTGTTTTTCTAATGGGTTAAACTCTACTCCTCCGTTGTCTTTTGCCACAATGACTTGCCCTTTCGGCTTGAAGGTTGTAACTCTTCCATTCACTTGCGCAGTGACCTTTGTGTTATAGCCAATTTCTATTCTCGTTCCATCATAAACATGCACAACGCTACGCACTCGTAATCCACCCTTTGTAATAGCCACACGGTTTCCCGCAGCGTGTTGCTGGGCTGTAAAATTAGCTTTTACATCGATGCACACATCAGCAAAGCGTTGTTTCTTAACGAGTATGTGTGTGCTTGCAGCATTCATGTACATTCGCGTGCCGTCCACATGATAGGTCACACGAGCTCCGCTCGTAAACGTCACAACAACAACACCATTGCGATGTCTCTCTATGAGTGCGTGAGTTTCTGGGTCTACCATTTGCGTGGTAATCGATTCCGTGTTGAGACTTGAATTCTCGATCTTATGACAATTGCGTTTACACGCACGTACGACACGAACGATGCCATTAGCAAGCAACACTTCTCTTCGTCCACATTGAAGTTCCCTAAGTACACTGCCGTTTCCGTAAAGTACTCGAAATGTCTCCCTTTCGTCACATTTTTGTCGTTGTTTCCTGAAATTAGAATCTTTGATTTCGTGTATGTTCAGGTCATTTGTGCAGTCAGCGACGAAGCTGCTTTCATACGTTTTATCATTGTGGGCATACCGCTGAATGACACAGCCGTCAGAGCAAGCTGACACAATCAAACCACTCGGAAATGAGTTGGTCACCACGATCGTGGATAGCTGATCAGGCTTTTTTGAAAAGTTTTGTCGACCTTTGGAGGTACAAATCATAGATTCGTCTTGAAACGAAGCAAAGAAATAAAACATGCGCTTTGATGCTGGCTTACATTTTGCTGGTTGTTGTTCAGAAGATGTTTCATCTTTAAAGACGCTATCTTCTATCTTTTCCGTACTCGGTCTTAATCCAAACGATATCCTAACAAGCGATACGGGGGTCAGATTTAGGGTAGAGCTGAAATTGAGTAAGTTGTGACCTTACCCTTGTTGACATGTTGTTAACCACACATGCCTTTTACATGTTTGATAAAGATGAGTCACGCTGTGATCAGCAGGATACATCGACCAACTTTGAGTTGCTACGAGCGCTAGCTGGCTGGCAGACAAAGGTATATATGCTCCTGCTGCAGCTTCAATCTGTAGTGTCAGATCTTTTTGTGGAAATATCTGGTCGTGCTTCCAATTTTTAAAAGCTACTCGATGGCGTACATGATCACTAGCCACCCAGGTTGATACTTTCATTCGACCAGATGCGATACGCGGGTGACAGACCAACAAGAGTGAGTCCGTGTGTGGATAGTAACTTAAGTAAGTGTCAGATGAGTTCTCCCTTAGTACTTGAGCGATTCGTTGAGGTAAAACAGTGCGTGCCAGATTTTCAGAATATGCGCGTGCCTGCAAAAGTCCCTTCCAAGAGCTCCCTAGCATATCTTCTATCTGTAAAAGTTGACGTGTCCGATGCACCATCGAGCAGTTTAAACGTGGTAAGGTCAAAAATGATGCGATTTCTGTATCACAAACACTACGTTCTAGTTGGGTCAAGTTTGCGTGGTCAAGCTTTGCTATTCGCCCGTTGGTGCCTACACCTGGTAGATCTCCTCGCAGCAACATGTTTTTTTCAATTTCATCGAGGCGACATTTACTATATGGTAGAAAACAGGAATTTCCATCAGCTTGTAACATTTCATTATAAAGCTGAGCGCTTGCGACTCGGCACGCAGCCAAGTCACCATACTCGAGAAATTCTTCGAACCGAGATGAATTGTTATTTTGGCAGACGATAGGTGATATCATAGAGGAAGAGCCTAAAGCAATGGCCTCAGTGATGGCGAACAGCACCGTGCTGACTGATACACTAGCGATAGATACCCCATCCAGCACCTTTTCATAATTTCTATACAGCCAGTTATTTCCACTATTCGCGTTATCAGATAGAACTGGGATCACCGAATACGTTGTTGATGCCAACCACTTCTTGAAAGCAAATTTTTGAGCAGCTATCAACTTTACAGAGGATACGAATTCTCGCTCAAAATCTTCATAATTCTTTAAATTCGTTGCATCTGCGCTGCAGGTCATCTTTGTAAATGTAAAATCGTTCCATTCTGGCTTACCCACGTGAGCAGCTTCATACAGCATCTTCACGAATGCATTTGTTGTCAGAGATATAACTGTTTTGTCAATCGCCGTACACGTGATTTTTTCACCACCATTACCATTATCTGGTTGTAAATGATCAGTTACGCCACATAAGGTTTCGTTCCGAGCTGCTGCTAACATATCCATGGAGGTAGCTATGAGAATCACCCCATCAATCAAAGGACAAAGCGGTAGATTATCTGATTCATCAGCTTTCTGTAATATATTATCTACCTCTCCAAGCCTCAACAGTTCTTCTGTCTCTATAAGCGAAGAAGGATAGTCCACCAATAAGTATACACGCGCAGGCGTCTCTGCTTTCTCTTTCGATTCCGAAGAAATATTCTTCGTCATCTTTACGAAATCCTGCATCTGATGCTCGCCAATTTCTACTGTATCAAAACTGATGTGCTGGTGCGCGAGAAACTCTAGCTTGTCTCGAGCCACAAGCCGCTGGAAAGCCAGCGCGAGCAGCGAGGGTGTCGGTGCGACTCTTGTAGTTTCCTCTATCTGTTTGCTGTTTAAAAGTACACGAGGGTTGACATCGACACCGTTGTACTCATTTGTGCTGGATGCTATCTCTAGCGCCATATCTTCGCGTAGTTTAGTATCCAGTTCCTCAGTATGAAAAAATTGCGCGAGCGCATCTAGCTCAGCGCGATCCACGACGCGAAATGAACAGTACCTCGACCAGCTCGTAAGCTCACCATTTGTATTAAGTCGATTCAGTAAGTCCTTTGTTGCTGATATAGCCTCCTCCGCTGAGTCATGAGCCAGCGCCACCGTGTGAAAGCCCCAACACCTCATTGCTCACGTCTTTTCGGCGACTCGGTTTATAAAAGGGTCTGTCACAGATTAAAGTTGATACTATTTATATTGGGCACACTCGTATCCATGCCGCTCGCTGGCTTGCTACTCGCCGCAAGCGCGCTTGCTATCATAGCGGCAAATGAAGTATGCAACGAACGGAAGCTACAGCAAGTCGCTACAGCGCTTCTGGAGGATCATGTGGATGCGGAGCTCGGCGCCGTTGGAGCGGGCAAGCCAGGAGTCGTGGGGTTCCAGTATTTGGTATAAAATCTTGTAGAAATCTTTCTCTCCAGTATCGAATCCTGACGCATCCGTTTGCTTTTATACCTTAAACTAAGAAACCTGCTGAGGCTCTCATGGCAGCACAAGCTTTAGCTCACAACAACTTTCAACAGGCGGCAGCACAGGTTCAACATATCATGCAGTACCAAAAGCCCAATGGGTTACTGCCACACTTGGTCTATGGTCCATCGGTCTCACCTGATCTGCACTGGATTTCCAGCAATAAAACGTTTCATCCAGGCCCAGCATTCTGGCGCCAGACTTCAATCGAGCAGCAACGTGAGCTGTCGGCGTCACCACTAAATACCTCCACGATCTCGGCTCCACCAGTGGCTGGTGATGTGATTTGGGAAATTTATCGACTCGCACCGTATGATTCAGTGCTTGGAGGTAAAACCACCGCTACTCAGTTCCTATGTCATATGTATGATCCACTGAAGAAACTGCAGAGACATTTGTACTCGACACGCGGCGGTCCCGCGCCCAATAGCTTGCTTATCACTCGTGTAAGTCGGAAATACTTCTAGCATTCGACCACAATTAAACGATGCTGAAAACTGATTGCTCTGATATCACAAATAGCATCCGTGGGAAACCTTTTCTTCTCTGTCACCACACTGGAAAGCGTTTCTTGCAGACTTGAAGAATGCGCCGGATTACGAAGCCGTCGTTAGCTTGATTCCCGAGGAGGCCAAAGTTTGTTTTGCAGCAGGAGCAAGCACGATATTTTTAGCGCAAGACGCTGTCAAAGATATGTATGAGCCTATGGTGTATCTTGCAGCGCAGATTCGTCTCGAGAGAGCTGGTGAGGTTTACAGTTCCAAAAGAAATATGCTAGAGTCAATGGATAGGGCTACAAATGTTTTTAAGAAAGCTCAATTCGGAGTTGAGGATGTGGAATTTAATGCTCTTGTGCTACGATCATCATTGGCGTTAGTGAATATTGGACATGTGCTCGTAGAG